AAGAACGGACTTCCGGAACGGATTAAGTTCATAAACCGAGGTACCACTGTATGTACTGTATTTTTCGCTCTATAAGACGCACCAGACCACAAGACACACCTAGTTTTTGTAGGAGGAAAACAAGAAAAAAAATATTCTGAATCTCAGAAGCCAGAACAGCAAGAGGAATCGCTGCGCAGTGAAAGCAGCAATCCCTCTTGCTGTTCTGGCTTCTGTGATAGCTGCGCAGCCTGCAGTCGCTCCATAAGACGCACACACATTTCCCCTTACTTTTTAGGAGGGAAAAAGTGAGTCTTATAGAGCAAAAAATACGGTAACTTTCGTCACATGCCTCATGGCTCTCGAGAGCAATACCCAAACTATGGATTTTATCTTGAATTGCTCCATACCAAGATGGCATCCCCTTTCTTTATCCGACAGCGGAGTTTGCAAACCCCCACCCCACCCCGGCTACCACCATCCAAGCCAATCCTCCAAGGCCCTTTGACCACTTCTGTTTTGCCAGAAGGCTCTCAGCAGCTGTTCCTCCACTTGCATTCTTGATAGCTTTCTCATTCCGTCAGGCTGGCACGACTGGTTTCTTCCCACCACTTCTAAGCCAGCCGCCCCTCTCCCTCCCTCCCCACCACCCCCACTTGTAAAATTTTCTGCGTATCTGAGCAGATCTTTTTACTGGCTCTCGAGAGCTACAAATTTTGAGCCCGTCAGGTTCTTGATGAAGATGGGAGGGAGAAAGCCGGGGGGGGGGGAGCACCACAAAAGCAATTTAGAACTTTAGGGAAGAAGAAAAACTAAGTCTGGCAAGCTTTTTAAAAAAATATTTTTATCAAATTTCCAAAAGTACCACGTAAAATTCATATACATATCATTGACTTCTTATCCCATTTTCCGTGATGTTTTTCTTATCTCCCCCTTTGCTGCATCCTACCTTCCCTTTTTTAAACATAGTCGTAACACAATAATCTTTAACTGTTCTGTTGCTCATAGTTCAAAACCTGCTCATGTCATAGTATTTCTTCAAATCATCCCAAAAAGGTTTCCATTCTTCAAAAATGGAGATTCTCTTATTTTAGCTGTTAGCTTTGCTGATTCAACATAACCCATTGCTTTACTTATCCATTCTTTTCTTAGCGGGAACTTCTTCATCTTTCCATTTCTGAAAAAGTCTGGCAACATTATTTATTCATTTATTGTTTGTTAGTTACATTTATATCCCACTTTTCCTTGAAGGAGCTCAAGGTGGCGTACATAATTCTTCTCCTTTCCTTTCCCATTTTATTCTTCCAACGACCCTGTGAGGTGGGTTTTACTGAGAGGCAGCGGCTGGCTCAAGGTCACCCAGTGAGAGTTTCATAGCTGAGCAGAGATTTGCAGATCATAGAATCACAGAATTGCAGAGTTGGAAGGTACCCCATGAGTTCATCTAGTCCAACCCCCTGCAATGCAGGAAATCTCAATGAAAGCATCCATGACAGATGGCCACCCAACCTCTGCTTAAAAACCTCCAAGGAAAGAGAGTCCACTACCTCCTGTGGGATACCTTGAATTTAATTCTTTTTCTCCTCTCCCCAAAATTGATGAGGTTTTCAATTGCATTCCACTGAGAGACAGGCAGAGGTTCCCATCAGGTGTGCCGTGAAGGGTGCAAAAGTCTTTATTCTTATGCATTCTCAAAAAAATCCATAAGAACACCAGAAGAGCTCTGCTGGGTTAGGCCAAAGGGGCCCCATTGAGCCTAGTATTCTGTTCTCACAATGGGCAACCAAATGCCCCAATGGGAAGCCTTTGGGCAAGAGCTATCTCCCTTCCTGTAGTTTCCAGCAACTAGGATTCAGAAGCGTCACTGACTCATGACACCGGAAGTAGAGTATAGCCATTTCTGGCTAGAAGCTACGCATGGGCTCACTGTCCTCCATGAATTTGTCAAATCCTCTTTTAAAGCCATCCGAGCTGGTCATTGCACCTGCCTCTTGTGGGTGTTTGTCAAGTACAGTCATACCTTGGATCCTGAACGCCTTGCGAGTCAAACGTTTTGGCTCCTGAGCGCCGCAAACTCAGAAGTGAGTGTTCCGGTTTGCAAACGTTCTTTGGAACCGGAACGCCCGATGCATCTTCTGCGGCTTCCGATTGGCTGCAGGAGCTTCCTGCAACCAATCGGATGCCGTGCCTTGGTTTCCGAACATTTTGGAAATCAAACGGACTTCCGGAACGGATTGTGTTTGACTTCCGAGGTACCACTGTACTGCCTTTTGTCTGTCTTGAAACTTCCAAGGTTCAGCTCCAAGTGAGGAGAGGTTTCAGGAACAGAAGGACCCAGGGTTTGGTTTCTTAAGGAAAGATTGCAAGAGATGTATTAACAGCGTTTGTTGGGAACATTTTGTCCATTTCCAAACATGCAAGCCGATAGAGGATAACCAGAGCCAAACAAGGAAGCCATGTCTGCTACCCCAAATCAAATTTGGGGGGCACCTTGCACCCCCAAATCCTTCCAGCATTCCAGTTCCTGGTGCTTTCATTCTCTCCTTGTCCCCTGAACTCCTGAACTCACACCAGCCCTTTCCAGCTGGGTGCAAGGTGGCCAGGCTTCGTAAGAAGTGGCCTTACACCAAATCAGACCACTTGCCCTTCTAGCTCAATACTATCTGCACTGACTGGCAGCAGCTCTCCACAGTTTCAGACAGAGAGTCTTTCCCATCTGTCGGGATTTGAACTCGTGGCCTTCTATATCCACACCAGGCATTCTACCACAAAATAACCCTCAGGGTTCACATTATAGAATCTTAAAACCAGAGAGAAGTCATGGGGATCCTGATGGTGCAGCAGAATAATAAGAAAATAAATTATAGACTTATAGAATTGTGGAGTCAGAAGGTACCCCTGGGGGTCATCTAGTCCAACCACTGGCGATGCAGGAATAACAGCTAAAGAATTGCTGGCAGATGGCCGTCCAACTTCTATTTAAACACTTCCAATGAAGGAGAGTCCATTCTGAATAAAGGGCTTATTTCAGCAGGAACGAAGAAAGCAGTGAATCAGCCACTTGGGTCATCCAGCTCATTCCAGTCTATACTGACAGGGCTTCCAGGTAGGGTGGAATCTCTCCCAGCCCAACCTGGAAAAGCCAGGGATCTTCTGTCACTGAGCCGCAGCCTCCTCCAATGACTTGGATGGACAGGAGACAGGAGCTGAAGGGTGTTGGGGAGTGGATAATCACAGCCATACCCTGTTCTAAGATTGCACAACCTTTCAAGATGATGCAACCTAAGAATATACAAGAATAATAATTCAGGATGCATTGCAACTATCAATGCAGATCTCCAGGTGTTGCCTTTCAGCTGGACCAGGGTTTCTCAAACTTGGGTCTCCAGCTGTTTTTGGACTACAACTCCCATCATCCCTAGCTTGCAGGACCAGTGGTCAGGGAAGATGGCAACTGTGGTCCAAAAACAGCTGGAGACCCAAGTTTGGGCAACCCTAGGGTCCCTTCCAACTCTACAGTTTTTTTATTCTATTATTCATCTGTACACATACCTGGGCGATGCTTTAAGATCTTATACTGGAGTGACTTAAGTTGTGTTTTCTGTGAAGTTCCATCATACTGACAGAACTTGCACCACTCCCTTGAAACTCGGGTTTTTGGTATTCCTAAATGCTCAGTTTTGGAGCATCCAGAACAGCTGCTCCTCCTCACTGTCCTTCTCCAGAGTGACCCAAGGAATCCATGGCCTACTCAACAGTCTTCTCACTGATTGGCTCCTGCCAAAATTGACTTCCTTCTCAGTGGCTCAAAAGCTCCCCTTTCATGCCGATTGACCAGCTCTGGGACACTGGAGACAGGACCACTGCTGCAAAATCAGCAACGAGTCTTCAACCCTCCACAACTTGTGGTGTTGGAAAGTCCAACATGTTGGCTGGTGAGCTCAAGGCTTCAGGCCTTGCCTGTTTCTGCAAATGTAGAGAAACCAAGATGACAGATCATTTCTGGGAAGACGAGTCTCTTCTCTCTGTTTCCACTTAACCAGCTTGCTTACCCTCCCATCGATCTTCCCTCAACATCAAGTCCTCATTAAGCTAAGGAGGCTCCCAGCGGGACTTCTCTTCTCTCCCACCCCCTTGCAAGAAGATCTCCACCTGACCTCCCTTTTCCCCTCCTTGCCTGACAAATTGTGGGAGGTGACCCAGAGCCGGTCTAATTTATTCCAGCCCCATCCCAGCAGGGAAGGGTCTGTGCAGCTGCTGGGTTGGGAGAGAGCGGAAACAACTGTCGACCACACCTCAGGTCTCCCTTGCATCGGGCAGAGTACGCCCTGAGCACATGTAACGTTTTGCTTTGCAGCATCGCACTGCTAAACTGCTATGAGAGTTAGAAGCCCTCCAGTTAAGTTACAGGGTGCTGTGAAAGGGGGTCAGGAAGCGAGAAGTGTCTGACAATGGCTCCAAGTTAATGTACAAAAATATGAAGTGCATTATGATTTCTAGCAAGGAGATAATTTGTTTTTTAAATACATACACACACACACACACACACACACACACATATATATATACACACATATTAGTTTTTTTAAACATATCAACAGTCATTTAACATAACTTCTTATCTTATACAATATTTTTGACTTCCATCAGCACCTCTGATGATTTCCCCTTCTTTATCACTTATTCTGCATTTCTTAATTTCTCTGTTACTCTTAATGATCATTAACAAACAATTATCCACATAAACTTTCTTGTAATATTTCAAATAGTCCTCCTTACAAAACTTCTTGCAATCCTACTAGCGTAATCTGTTCATTACTATTTCTTTTCAAATAGTTCATATATTTACTCCAGTCTTCTAAGAATCTCTGGTCCCGCAGGTTTCGAATCCTTCCTGTTAATTTATCCAGTTCTGCATAGTCCATCAATTTCATCTGCCATTCGTAAGGAGAGAATTTGAGGGCGGGGGAGATCCACAGCAATGTTTAGATTTGCCTCCCAGCTTTCTACACTCTATGACAGCCTGGATAGCTCAGCTAGTTAGAGTGTGGCGCTGATAACACCAAGGTTGCAGGTTCAATCCCCTCTATGGGACAACTGCATATTCCTGCATTGCAGGGGTTGGACTAGATGACCCTCAGGGTCTCTTCCGACTCTACAATTCTGTGCAGAACTGTTGGGCTTTTCATTGCCATTGCCCTGACTCTCAGATGACTTCACTTGCCCTCAGTGATGGTTGTCTTTTTGCCAAAGCTCATTGGCTGACATAGCCATCTGTGACACCACCCTGCTTGCTTAGTAACTCCTAATAGGCTGGTATCACTCTTGATTTAATCCTTAAATTTTAAGGGTCTTTTGAGCCAAATGGGAAGGGAAAACATAGCTGTCATGGTTAGAAGATAGTGATATCCATCTCTTCCACCACGAATCAGCCTGATCCGCTTTGAAATGGCTTTGGGGAGAGGAAACCTCTGAAAAGGAGCAATGTCGCCCACACCCAGTCGATGTGCTTTGCACTGAGGTGACAGGGCTGTGTTTTCATAGGCAAGTTTCTTCAGCTAATGATTTACACCTCCTCACCCGAGGAGTTTGCCATCTGTTTCTGGCAGATGGCAATAACAGAAGTCAGAGCAGAGTGGAAGTGGGAAAGGAGGGCATCTTTTGAAGGAAGTCTGTCCTCCATGGTTGGGACAACAGTTTGTTTAAAACAGTGTCTTCATTCCATGTATCATATTTGTGGAGGGGGAAACCCACCTGTTTTGGGGAACAGAGCCTGAAGTCAGACTTCAAGGGGCCTTCAGCAGAGTGATCCTACTGGGCACCTCATCCCAAACACAAAGCCCTGGTCGCTGGATCTAAGAGATCTGTGTGGCCCTTCAGAAGGTTGAAAGTGGCCCTCAAGTTGCAAAGGCTTCCCTACCCCTGCTCTTCATCACTGTGCCACCTGTTGGCTCGCCAGGTGGACAACCAATGAGTGAGGCAGGAAGTGACATCTCCATGGCCTCTTCCTCCACACCACCACAAGGTTTATCTAAGTCAGAAGCTGGTGGGGAAAAGAACGGTGGGTTTCAATGGTGAGCAGAACGAGCAGGTCTGGGGGGGGGGAGACTCTTATCAGTGGGACCCTCTAGGGGTGTAAAGGCCTAGCAGATGCCTCGCTATGTCCATATCTACACCAGTCATGCCCCTCCCCCCTGCCAAAAAATAAAAAAGAATTTGAGGAGTTCTGTAAAGGTTCTGAGAGTTGTTGTATCTCAGGGAGTTGTATCTCAGGGCTAGATGACATTTGGGCCCCTTCCAACTCTTCAGATGTATGAGATCCCTCTTCTCCTCCCAGAGCAGTTTAATGGCCAACACTTCTTCCCAGGGAACTCTGGGAATTGTAGCTCTGTGTAAGGAGAGTATAGGGGTCTCCTCTCAGCACCTTTAATGAACCACAGCTCCCACAATTTTTTGGGAGAAGTCTATTTAAAAGGGTGTCCTAATGAATGCCTTAAATCTATGGTGTATGTATGGCCCATGTCATCATTGGTGGAAGTGGTCTTTTGGGTAACACTGCCCCCCAAGCCAGGAACAAGGGGGCCAGAATCCCTCTGGGCTGCCTCCTCACTCCTCTCCCCTGTCTTCACAGTGCGAGTTTGATATCTGAAGGAATTGACGGTCACTCTGGGATTAACTCCCTCTCTCTCTCTCTCTCTCTCTCTCTCTCTCTCTCTTGGGTAACCCGATTCCCCTGGCAAGAGAATCTTTTTAGTGGCTGATAAAACCTTCACTGTGGTGGAGTGGAAACAGGTTCCCTTTGAAGTGGGTCTTGCATTTCCCTCTTGACGCTCAATCCTGTATATTTTAACCGCCAATAAACTGATTTATAAGCACATCTCTTTTTTCCTTTAAAAAAAAAAAGTCTCTCCAGCCACCTTTCAAAGAATTGGCGAGAGGGAGGGGAATATTGCCAGCGCAAATGTCAGGGATGTATTTTGAATCTTCTTGCGGGAAGGAAGGCAGGTCCCTTGAAAGGATATTAGCCATGGCAAGCCCATGAAACCTCCATGATTAGTGGCAGTCGAACAAATAAAAGAGCTGGATGTGTCCCAAAGGACTCTTGCATCGTAGCATATCTGCCTCAGTTTCCTGGAGTTATCCAGCTAGCTTCTGCTGGAGAAACAGTCCTTGGTTTCGTGGTTCCTTGTCCTTAATCAACAAGGTGAAAATCCTAACAGTATTAAATCCAGTTATCGTAACGGCACAAAATGATATGAAAATCGCCTGAAAAGTTTCCAGTGGGTGTAATGAATCTAAGGAAGGGCTGTAGCTCAGTGGTAGAACATCTGCTTTGAATGCAGAAGGTCCCAGGTTCAGTTCCTGGTATCTTCAGGTAGAGCTGGGAGAGAACCCCTGTCTGAAATGCTGAAATGCTGCATTAAAAGCGAGTAGAGTTATGCTGAACTTTGCTAGAGACAGTAAAGGCAAGTGATGGTCTAGTTCAGGGATTTGGGCTCCAGATGTTGTCAGACCTTGGCTCCCATCAGTCCCAGCTGCCAGTATGTCAGGGTGATGGGAGAGTTAGACTACAACAACATCCAGATGGCCACAGGTCGCCCATCCCTGCATTAAAAGAAGGCATGGTTTTGACGGAGATCGGTAGGGGCAGTAAAGCAAAATGACAATCTAGTTCAGGGATGGAGAACCTGCAGCCCTTCAGTTGTTGCTGGACTCCCAACACCCATCAGACTTCATGGCAAGTGGCGAAGGGTGATGGGATCTGTGGTCCACCAACAGCTAGAGGACGATTGGTTCTCCATACCTGAACTAGACCATAGCTTACCTTTATTGCCCCAAGCTACCTCCATCACAACTCTGACCATCACTTGCCTTTACTGCCCCTAGATACCTTCATAACAGCTGGAAGGCACCATGTTCTCCATTCTCACCATAGGTTTAGGTCCATGGGGGTAAGCAAGCTCTCTCTTTTGCTTGTTCCTAACCTGCTGGGAAGGGAGGCAGGTGGTGCTGTGGGTTAAACCACAGAGCCTAGGACTTGCCGATCAGAAGGTCGGCGGTTCGAATCCCCACGACAGGGTGAGCTCCCGTTGCTTGGTCCCTGCTCCTGCCAACCTAGCAGTTTGAAAGCACATCAAAGTGCAAGTAGATCAATAGTTACCGCTCCAGCGGGAAGGTAAACGGCGTTTCCGTGCACTGCTCTGGTTCGCCAGAAGCAGCTTAGTCATGCTGGCCACATGACCCGGAAGCTGTACGCCGGCTCCCTTGGCCAATAAAGCGAGATGAGCGCCACAACCCCAGAGTCGGCCACAACTAGATCTAATAGTCAGGGGCCCCTTTACCTTTACCTTTAACCTGCTGGGAATGCATTTAGCTTGTCAACCGCAACACAAACTTAATACACCCGCTTTGATGGAGATGTGGGGTCAGCTGAAAGGGTTTGAGTTCCGAGTGTATACATAACCACCTGCACACACACACACATAGGTCAAATTCCCTGACCGCATTGCCAGACAGACGTCCATTAAATGTGGCCCAATCCACATCTCTGCATCCGTGTGTAAGAGTTGCTGGTGAAAATTATCCCTATGGGACTTCTTCTTTGGCAATCACTCATAGCCAAGTAAGATTGTCTTCCATAAACAATGGAAGGTTTTAACAATGAGTCCGTAAGTGACTGTGGAGGCCAATTCTGGATCCACACGTCCTTCCACAGTGGGGATATTGGTTTCCCGGCGGGAGCTGATCACCGTGTGGATTTGCCAAGCGTGCCTTCCTCCTAGCACATTTCTCCCTTGCGTCCTGAGTTCGAGTGTCTTCAAAGACCATGACACCTTTGGTCAAGGCTGTTCTCCAACTGGAGTGCTCGCAGACCAGTGTTTCCCAGTTGTCCGTGTTTATCCTACATTTTTTAAAAAGATTTGCCTTGAGAGAGTCTTTAAACCTCTTTTGTTGACCACCAGCATTACGCTTTCCATTTTTAAGTTCGGAATAGAGCAGTTGCTCTGGAAGACGATCATCAGGCATCCGCACAACATGACCAGTAAGAGCGTAATGTAGCCCTCAATCTCCAGAGAGCTGCAATTTAAATTAAAGTCCTCATCCATTCACCCAGTGACTGCAGATGCAATGAGACTCAAGACACCTGAGTTTCCCATTACAGTTTCTTCCATATGGGTGCAAAGTAGATGTTCTGCCACTTTGCTATGGCCCCTCCACTTGCTCATGAAAGCCCCCAGGTTCAGTCCGCTGCTGGGCATTTCTCAAGAGGACAGGCCATAGCTCAGCGGTAGAGCACTTGCTTTGCATGTGGAAGGTCCTGAGTTCAGATCCCTGCATACAAGGCTGGGAAAAGGATCCCTACCTGAAACCCTGGAAAGCCACTGTTACCAGCCAGTGTTGACAAATGTGAGCTTGATGGTAGCTGTTCCTATTTAAACCAACACTTTTATTCCAAACTATGGGGACTAGAACCTTGCTGCATTTTTAAAATTCTCGGTGGTAGAGCATCTGCTTTGTATGCAGAATTCCCTAGTCTTTTGCAGCATCTCTAGGTAGGGCTGGGAAGGATTCCCTGTCTGAAACCCTGGGGAGTAGCTGCCAGTCAGTGTAGACAGTGCTGAGCCCGATGGACCAAGAGTCTGACACTGTATAAAGCAGTTTCCTATGTTCTATGGATGGGGAAGTAGCATATCCCAGTGGAAGAGCATCTTCTTTGCCTCCAGGAGGTCCTAGGTTGTAAAAGACCCAACATCTCATTTAGAAAGGGGTGGATCAATGTGGGACTACCAAAGGGGGAGCTAACTTTCCCTGCTTGGTCTTCTCAACATGCCCGGAGTCGTCAACCAAACCTTTGCTAGAAACACACAGATCAAGCTCCCCAACTCAACTTCTCCACCGCCCCTTCAGCTTTTAGGGGTTTTGTGTTGTTATTCAATTCCACCTCCCCCCTCTGCCAAGCCCTCTCCTGTTGCTGTGAAATTCAATCAGGTCTCCCAGACCTCTAGGCCCTGGAGAACTCGGCAGCTGCATTCTCAACTGTCTCGAAAGCTTAGCCCCGTCCCCTTCTCAAACCAGAATCAGCCCTGAGAGTTTTTGGATTCAATTGAAAATGAGTTTTTTTTAAAAAAAAATTAAAAAACAGATACAGATTGCAGCTGGAATACATATGGTACAATTTGATTGGCTCAGATAATTGTGCACTAGGATTTATGAGCAGGGGAAATGGATGGGGAGAGAATGTGGAGGGTTTCTTTAGCCACGATTCCTGCTTTTCAGGGGGTTGGACTAGATGTTCTTTGTAAGGTCCCTTCCAACTCCATGATTCTAAGTTGGCTAGATTTTACAGCGGTGTTGTGCACAAAGGAAGCACGGATTGCCAGAAAATAATTCGGAAGTGCAGAAATGGCCCTGGTAAGCCAGAGTCGGCTCTGCTAATCCAATAGGATTTCCGGGGACTGATAATAAGACAGTGGTTGGCCACTGGCAGACGGGGGCCAAAGGTGGGCCTTCCTGTTTGCTGGCCTGCTCTGTCCTGACACCTAGTGGCCATTTTTTGTTTTGCATGGGGCCTGTGCAAGAATAGGCTTTTAGAAAAGATGGTTCTGAGGGGTTGGAAGATGGTTTGCGACCAGGGTCGGATTTAGGTTTGATGAGGCCCTAAGCTACTGAAGGTAATGGGGCCCTTTATATGTCCAGCTGTCGTTTGTCAACAACAAATTGTCAACTGTTTTTTTGTGTTGAATATATGCTATATGGTAATTTATGGACCTAATAGGTATCTAAAGCCATTTGCACATAACAAAATATGTATTTTATCGAAGTAATTGTTGAACTGAAATACAATTAAGAAGTATATTAATAGTGAAATACAATTAAGAAAAAGTATATTAATGTGAAATAATTATTAAGTTCTAACTTAAAAGGATTTTTTATTCATAACAAACTTAATAATAAACATTGGAATTTGACAATAACAAAGATCCCTTTAGAAACACAATTAACAAAGACTCATAATTTGGGGGGGGGGCAAGAGAATGGGGCCCTAAGCTATAGCTTGTTTAGGTTATACGTAAATCCGGCACTGGTTGCGGCAGGTGGTGATGGTTCCAGGGCGTCAGATCATTCATGGCACTTGCTCCCTTGACAATGACAATGCGGAGGGTCCATAGCTCAGGGGACGGAGACCCTTCTTTGCATGCAGAAGGGCTCGGGTTCAACCCCTTGGCATGTGTCTTCCCCCATAACTTCCTGCCTTCCTCTCTCCCTTCTCCCAGGTGTGGTTCAGCAACCGGCGGGCACGGTGGCGCAAGCAGGCTGGGGCCAATCAGCTGGCAGCATTCAATCACCTGTTGCCGGGGGGCTTCCCTCCGACTGGGATGCCCACTTTGCCTCCGTACCAGCTGCCAGATTCAACTTACCCAACCACCACCCTTTCCCAAGGTAGGTGCTGAGGGCTTGGGTGGGAAAGTGGGTTGTTTTGATGGGTGGGTTGTGCCGGAACCTGCGTTCGACCGAGCGACTCCTCCGGAATCGCCTCTGTTCTCTCCTCTGACAATAATTAATGACCTGAGCCTCTGATAAGGTTCCAAGCATGTTCCCATTACGCAGAGTATCCAGCACAGGGAAGGACGAGAAATATGAGCTACATGCTAAGAGTTTTATTACTAAGCTACGCAGACAGAAAAGAAATAAATCCTCTCTCTGTGAGAGCAGAGAGCAACTGAACCACAAAGGAACAGGAAACCAGTAAACATCACATCCGACTTCCAACAGCCTGGAATGTCTGGAATGCAAAACAGAGTCTTGTGACTCCAAAGCACTGCACAGTGGCAACACAGAAACCAACAGGTTGATGGATGGCATTTATATCAAACCTCAAGGTGGCAGGCATGGTCCCACCCATCACTCCTTGTTTAATCCCCACAACAATCCTGTGAGGGGGTTTAGGCTGAGAGGCAGGGACTGGCCCAGAATCACCCAGTGAGATTCACGACAGAACGTGGGGATTTGAACCCTGGTTCTCCCAGTTCCTAGTCTGACTGGTACAGAGTGGGCGGAGCCAGAGCCTGGGATTGGCTGAGCCAGAGTGAATGGTAGCTGAGTTCTTCAAGGGCCAACACTGAGACTCAGGGCTTCCCCACAATTCCTCTGTTCCCACTGCTTTCCCCTGAGGAAAACCACTCGGAGCAACCAGCAATTTGGGTTGTCTTCTGCTCTGTAGACTGGCAGCTGCAGGTTCGATCCCCGCCATCTCCTGGTAAAAGTCTCTTCCAGCCTTTACTCAAATCCGCAGTTTGTGTTCACACCTCGGCGCAAGGGGGAAGGAGTTCTTCTTGCATTGCCAAAGGCTCTCGGTCGCTCTGTTTCTTAAC